TCTGTAATACTTTTTATGCAATATTTCTCTGTTTTTGATTTATATTTGTCATGAAATTGTAATCTTTGTATTTAAAGTACAAATTGAAAGAGTTCTTGAATTGCAACCAAAGTTCTCCACTTTTGTCGACCGCTAGTCTTTTGCCCGAAATTAATGCCGAGAAATCTAGACCTGGAAATAGTGCCGGAAATGGAAACCATAAACATATAGATAATGTACCGAAAAGTGGAAGTGAAGAGAGAGTTGGAACTGACGACCAACTGAGTGGCAAAGAGACCAGTCATGAAGAGACTGATCCGAACTCTAAAGAAAACAAATCAAATATAATTATTATAGTAATTGTGGTTATAGTGATCGTTATACTCATTGCAATCTTATGTTTTAGTTGTTTCAGTGAGTCTTATACTGTATAAGTGTATAGTTGTCGATGTCTTATAAATACAATCCTATTGTTTAGTTTTGAGATCAAATAGTGAACAAAATGAGAAATCGCCTAAACCGTCAAAACCGAAGGTTACCCCAAAACAGGTGTTAAAAGTTGGGACACCGGCCAAGCCTTCAAACATAGACAAAGCCTCTAGATTTAAGACACCGAAGACACCTACCGGTGCCGCTAAAGGATCCACTGAATCAAAGATTGGTTCTCAAAAAAACAATTTATCAGTTTCTGTCCGATCAAAAGTTTTATGATTTGCATTTGGTTTCCATTGTTTTATTCAAAATTTAGTTTTTGATCCCAAATATATTTTATTGATTCAAAAGCTATTTAAATAATGTTTTAATATTTTATATGATTCTTATTCTGGATTTAAACATTGATTATAAAATATAATAAAAATATAAACTTTTATGTATTAAAACTGTGGTTAAGAATAGGGATATAAAAGAAAGGACACGAAGGAGGCATAAGTTTATTAAAGCGTACAGTCATTCATATTTAACCTGATTGTGGATATAATTCAGAAATGATATGATAAACAAAGCATCACTTGATTCGGTTCTTAACATACGGTGTTTAGCCATACAAACTACTGTATTATGTGCCAGATGATAATTGTAATTTCAGTGCCCTCATGCACTAATAGCTCGCATAACAAACTGTACAGTGTACAAAATGAATAAATAATGCCAGTGACCACTAATTGTGTTAATCTCGTGAATTTAAATACGAATTTTATACAAACTTTGTATTACTGTATTACAAACACTCAAACCGTTTCATTACAACCGTTCCCACAGTTTTCATCTGAAAAAGTCTTTGAATAAGTTCTTCAGTTTAATCCACACATTAGATGTTTGTCTCACAATCAACGCTCGTATGGATAGTATTGGTGGCCATCAATGGTATGATGGGGGATACCATGGATGTGTGCGCTTTCAATGACACCATCATGAATAAACTACCCGGCCTTTTCCTAATCGGTGACACCCTTTACTTCGGGAACACCACCTATTACTACAGGGCTAACATAAAGGACAAGGTTTGGAAGTTCAACAACGACGGCGAGGCTGACATTGGGAGTCTCTTCACTGATTGTAAGCGTTTTAATGAATCCCTTTACACTACTGTCCATTGAATGACTAACTTTTTAATCACCCAAAAGCGGCCCAATTTTCTGACTTCACGAGTGCCCTGGACTTCGGCCCCGCGAAGCAATGCAATAAATCGGTGGCCGACTGTACGGTTATGACCAAAGCTTTCGACAAGACTCTTATGATCGGCCGTATGGAAAGTGGTGGCGTCAATCAGTTTGGGTACAAAGCCTACCAGACCCCAGCCAGTGCTTCCAACCCATCTCCGGTGACCGACAACAACGAGATGCCCTGGAATTTGACGCTAAGCGCCGCCATTACGGGCACTAATAACAAGTTTTGGCCGATTGACGACTCCTACAGTCACTATTTGTTTGCATACGACGGCACAGACCAACGCATGTATGCCTTAACAGAGACACCGTCCTGGCTCAATAAAGTTCCCATCATTGGGGGTATTGCCAAAGTTCTGGGTGTTAGTGGTGATCATAAATTGCATTATCGACAAATCGACGGCAAATACACTACAAAATTTGTGCAAGGAAAGTATCATGGACTTGTGGTCAGGAGTGGTAATGTCTTTGCCTATGAAAATATTCTTGCGGTGCATCTGTTGAACCCTAACGGCGCCAAAAAAGTGGCGACTGAAGTGAAAACTGTAATACCTTTGATGTAAAATATTTGTGATTTTTACTGACAATTGATTCTCAACTCAATTCATTTAAAGTACACTTTGAAAGAGTTCTTGAATTGCAACCAAAGTTCACCCCTTTTGATGTCTCGTATTTTTCCGAAAAATGACAACGAGTCAAATGGATCAAATGAAGACCCTGTGCCTAATGACGACACTAACACCCCACCCAATGGCAACGAAACTGGTAGCAAAGTGACGGGTCCTCCGGATAATCCATCAAAATTCATGACTGTATTGATCGTGTTGTTTGTGATCGCAGTACTCATTGCACTCATTTGTCTCATCTTTTGCTGTGAGTCTTACACATGAGGACAGCTTTCCGTGTCTTATGTCTTATATACCACTCAATGTGTTTCAGGCATGCGATCAAAGAGTGGACAAAAGGAAACGGTTCACACATCCAAACCGGACCTCAATGTTAAATCAGAATCGCTATCAAAGGCTGAGCCGCCGACCACACGTTCAGCCGATGGATCTGAAACCTCGATCACCGGCGCCACCAAGGGATCCACTCAATCGACGATTGGTTCTCAAAAAAGCAATATATCGGATGTTTCCGTCCGATCCAATGCTAATTGATTTGAATTTATTTCTATCGTTTTGTTCAAAATGATTTTTGTTATTCAATTTAGCCTCTGATCTCAAATATGTTTTATTTATTCACAAGTTATTTGCCGTCAATTCCTTTTCTAATGTTTTATATTAAACTGCATTTAAACTTTGATTATAAAAATAAAATATAAATATAAACTTTTATCTATTCAAACCATTTACCGTACAATAGTAATTCCCAAACTTAAAATAATATTTGTTTGATTTCATAATTTTTTTTGTATATCGTATACAATGTAAAAATGAGTGAATATACTTTAGAATTGTTATTTAATTGTCATTATTAACACTAAATCAATATCTATTACCATCTCTTCAGCCTTGAAGAAGATCTCCGTGTAGACCGAAAACGTTCGGCTAATCTATTATTTTTGATACCATTTAACTCATTTTATAAAATAAGTTATTGAAAACTAATATTTGAATTTTTACGTATTTAATAATTTCCTAAATGTGCTAAACCCTCACTCAAACTTCAATAAATAAACTAAAAGTAAAGAATTCATCAGGGACAGAGATAGGGAGTCGACAATTTCGGTTATAAATAAGGCAACAATGGGTTAGAATAGAAATATAAGAGGTATACTAAATACATAGCAATTAAACAAATGGACACGATTTTCAAACACACCCCCATTACCAAATGATCAAATCAAAGCGCGGTGTATAGGTATATGACCCCGATAATAATTCAGATTTTAAAATAAAATCATCCTACTTATTAAAATATAATAAATATCATTAATTTTATCATTTGATTGATTGATTGGAAGCTAATTGTTAGCAATGAATGCTGTACTAAAACAATGAATTCATTTCTATGAGCGAGCTATACATCGATTAAAATAATTTATTTAAAATTCAAAACTTAACACAAATTCTAAATATTAACGGAATTTAACAGTCGTTTCAATCCTACCATTAATTGTCATCAAAAAAGTAAATCTTATAGATCTTTGAAACTAAAGACAGTATCAAATCACTCGACACTTGGATTCAATGAATATGTGGTCCAAACCTATGATGGCTTTCATTGGGCTGACAATCCTGTCGTTGAGTCCATTCATTGGCTGTTTATGTCTGAACCGATTGCGGTCATCGACACCACCGGAGAGCACCGACTGTCCGACCCTATGCTCTGACGGACTGCCCATCACCGCCATCACCGGGATTGAGGGGACGCCTAAGTTGCTGATAGTTAGCGGCGAATGTGCTTTCGTTGTGGACCCGACTCGCGATGGCACGGATCAGATCAGACACGGGTTCAGACATTCGATGGCCTTTCAGGACATTCAGGACATGTTTGCCGTCAAAAACACCGCCGAAGACATCGAGTTTGTCAGCCTTTATGTGAGTATCAATCCATGGAAACAGTGGTTATGTCCTTTAGTTGTAAACAATTGTCTTAACTATGGCTCGCATTTGATAGGCTTCGGGAACTGTAGTCGAGATTATCGGCCCCAACGCCACGATCAACGGAACCGATGGTCAGGTGATGTCTAATGTGTTTGAAGGGCTGACCACAGACCTGGATGTGCCCATCGATGCCGCCTTCGTCTGGACCTCCAA